TTGTGGTCAAAGAGTGCAATAAAGTTGTTTGATCAAAAAAAATGTTGCAGAAAATTGTTGATCTCCATTCTTTGGAATCATGGCATGCACTCATTTTTTTCATAATACATTTTTCATTCTGGTTTGTTTTTATGTAATATTTAGTGAAAGTGTGGAATCTACTGTATGGCTTTTGTCTTCCACTCCAGTCCACAAGAGCTGGTATCTTTGAACTTCTGGACATTTCCCTGGGCCAACACATCTGAATCTAAAAGACTGAATCACCTTGTCATTATGCAGCCAGGTTATCCAGAATCCTTCTTGTAACCTGATTGTTTCGCTTGTTGAAGGGGAGAAACATCACAATGTCACAATGTTGCAGGACGCTGGCCATCAAAGACTGGACTTGCAGACAATTGCTTCAGACCCATGAGGTTTGAAATATCAAAACCTAATATAGACCAGATTCCTTATTATTATTATTATTATTATTATTATTATTATTATTATTATTATTATTATTATTATTATTATTATTATTATTATTATTATTATTATTATTATTATTATGCCAGGATATGCAAAACCCTTGACAATAAGGAAGTTCTGCTCTCTTCATTTCGCTTTACCGTGATGTATGTGTGAAAACTTCCGTCTCTCAGCAAGAACATTTTTAGCTCCTGCAAATGTCGGCACGTATCTGAAAAAAATACGCATGACCGTATTAGTGTTGTATTCAGGTAACCAGGCAGAGAGCTGTTATTCGGTGCCAAAACAAGATGACAATAAATTTGCCTAAGCTTGTTCATTAATTGTCCAGACATTCATCTCAATGTCTGGATATTCAGATGTCTAGACATCTGAATGTCTAAACAAAACATATTGTTTTGTCTAGACATCTGAATGTCTGGCTTTATATGAATATGAACAAGATATTCACTTAGCATTGCTTTTAAAAAATTTAAAAAAATCCTTGAGCTCTAGTCAAATGTTTTCTCATGTTCCACATTTGAACAGTTATCTTTGTCTTGCACCTGTGTCTGTGTAAATAATCAACTAAGACCGATTAACTACAAAAAGAGAGAGAGAGAAGAATGCCAAGTGTAATTTGTTTTTTGTTGACCATTAGAAACCCCTAAAAAGATTTATCTCTGTTACTCCAAAACAAAGACTTGTTTTGTGATGCGCGCAAATCTTGTGGTCTTGGAAACGCAAAATATTCCTCCAATTATTCTGACAAACTTAATTCTTACGCAAAAGAAAATTAATTCACGTTCCTCTAATAAGCTCTGTTATTTGGATCTGCAGGAATCTTTTTTTTTATTTTTACGGTAAAGTCCAGGTCTAACAGACTACTACGGAGGAAGTTGCTTACAGTCTGCGCGTAATTGTCCAGTGAATCATCCTCTGAATCATGGCACTCATTATGCGCCATTCCCAGTAAAACCCCCGCTCCTACAGCCTGTTCAGCTGCTGTTCACCGCTTTATCATATTAACTCCAAAGTTCAGTCAAGAGACGCGAACGAGGAGGAAGGACTGAGGAGCTGAGGAAGCGATGATAACGATCCATTTCCAATTCCAACCTGTCTCACTCATTTTCGGATTCCTGAGCGGAAAACAGCTTGGAAGAGGATTTTACTGCGCGTCTATCTCTTGCAGTAAGTCTAACACTTCGCATAAGTTGTGTTTTTTTTTTTTTTTTCTTTTTAAGTGAAACTTTTTATGGAGAGAATTGTATTCGTGGTATTGACAAATGCGCATTTTGTGAATGTTTTGGCAGGAAAGGAAAGTTCTTTGCGTAACATTATTACCGCCGCTTGTCAACAGGTGTCTTCCTGCACGTCTACTGATAATATTTTTGATAGATGCGCCCTGGTGAGCTGCAAGAGGACAATAATTGTTGTCTGTTCCTTTCTGTAATGAAATTAAACATTTTGCATTCATTACACATGATTGCGTCGTAGCAGTTATACATCTGAACGTTATCCGGTTGTTTTCTGGCGCGGTGATCCTACGTGCAGCGCACAGCAGGTTTATTCTCCCCGCTGTTTATATTCTTACGTCGTCTGGTTGTCTGTGATAACAGTGAGTAAGACGGTGGCTAAATGCTTTTGTTGCTGAGGCAGATACAGTCCAGACTCCAAGGCACATAGCGATGGAAATGATACACAAACATGGATCTCAGATTTAACCCCAGAAATATTTGTGGAAGCTTCAGGTGATATTCATAAATTAAATATTTTTATTGAGCTCTCTTTATGGGATGTCACCTGGACAGCAGGGACAGCACATTTACAGCCTCTACTTCCCTTTTCACAGTCTGTCATTGTGAAAAGGGATATTATATATTCCAGGTTTTTTCTTTTTTTAAAAAGCTGGAATGTGCCTTTGCTGCTGTTTACAAATGGTGAAAGATGAAAAAACATCCATCCATCAACGTTAATGCTTATGCTTAAAACTGGCCCAGGGTATGAGCAATTCAGCTGCCCTGAGGGGGGAAACAGGTCAGCAGAGAAGCATGAGCCTCAAAATTCAAGAATGACCATACGTTTAAGTTTTATAGCAAATGTCGGCTCAATGTTTAAAAAATATATATATAAAACAACAGAAGCAGATATATACTACTGTTATCATAAATAGAATGTCTGTGGTGTGATAATCATGCTGGCAGTCTTACTGTTGGACTTGGATTTCATATTTTTTAAATTATCTGTACAATAAATGTAATTTAATTTGCTTCTCATCAGTAAAATTTGATATACAGACAAACGTTGTTACTGATTTAGTGGTGCCTGTGCAGCAGTCATATTGACTAGTTAGATTTTCCTCTCCAACTTTTCTGTATCCACATTTAAACCCTGTACAGCAGAGACACCAAGCATGACTACCTGGCGAGTTAGGGTGAAGGTGACTCCGGAGGGAGGAGTTCGACCTGTAACTGCTGGTTTGCCGGTTCAAAATCCTTACTTTGTTCACTCTATGCATCTTGGGGAAGACATTTTGCCCACCTTTCCTGCTGGTTGTGCTAAGAGAGGTAAAGGGAGCTGCAATGAAGCTTACCACCAAGGCACTTTGGGGTCCCCTGGACTAGATAAAGTGAACTGGAGATCACCTTTAGCTGCATCCTAAGTGCACAAACTGGAATTGGTGCCCCATATCAGATTCTGATGTAAGCCCCTAAAAGTTTTGGGCCGAATTAAAACATGGTGAAAAAAAGACAAAAAACAAAATTTGATTGTTCAACTTAACTCCCTGTAAAAAGCTTTAACTATTAATGTGAAACCACAATGACAGTTGTTATGGATGCACCACCAACCCTCTGAGCTCTCAGTGCTGATTGGTGTGTTTTTTTTCTCCACACTGAACACTAAGCCTTAGAAAGGATCTTTTTCTTCTCCTGCTGTTTGTCATCAATGAGTAAGCATTATATCCACAAACTGATTGAATAGAAACAGACCGACAGATGACATTATTATGCTAATGTCTTCTCAGCACTGTGAAATATATGATTATTTTTCTGAATGTAGGTTCCATATATTAAGGCATTTGACATGTCAATTGATTAAATGGTCTGCTTGTTTTAAATATGTATGCTTTTTAATTGGCAAAGACCACAGAAATGTCAAAATGAAAAGGAGCTCAATTAAAATATTTTAAAAATTTTAATAAACAAACGTCACCTGCACCATGGCAACTGGCTTATTTTAGTCCGTTCTCATAAAAAAATCGATACCTCCAACTGCTACAGATGAGTGTTTTCCAGCACTACAGCGATATGTTTTAATATCACTTGGACCACTTCACCATCCAGAAACGTTGCTTTATATGATTTTGAAAGCCTTTGGACACGATATCCATCATATAACTCCTTTTCTGCTCAATTTTTCTGCTGCTGGGTTGGTGATGGAATCCCATCTCACTGCCCTTTCCTTGTGTAAGTGTTGAAGAAAGCCAGCTGGACAGTGAATGAGAGAGAAGAACACAGATTTAACTCTCTTTAAAGCTGCTGAGTTCACTGTTGAAATAATCCAAGAAAATAAAAACCAATATGTTATTTCTGTCTGTCTGTGACTGAGGTCAAAACCCCATTTTAGTTCCACTGAAATTAAATAGAAAATGGTTTATATTAGCAGTTTAGTTTATGATATTTGCTACAAGATATAAACCGGAAGACAGAATGCATTAAAATTGTGTAAAGGATTGTGTGATTTTGGTTATTTGTTTTTATTCAGCCTGTTGACAGTTTGTGTCTTATATTCTTGTCTTATATTCATTCTTGCAAATGTATTCATACCACTCACACACTTATTCGTTTTGTCATTTTATAGCCTCAAACATAAAGACACCTTGAACTTCAAACACAAAGTACATAATTGTGACATTTTCACCATGTGAGAGGTGCATTTATAATCAGCCTTGCTGAGTCAATAATTTTGCTGCAATTATAGCTGTAGGTTTTTTGGAATATGTCTCTTCCAACATCCAGAGATAAATTCAACCGATTTCTTTTTGTCAAAACAGCTCAAATTGAGTCAGATTACATGAGTTTGTGAACATTTTCTGTGAGTCTTGCTGCAGATTCTGCGGGCGTGCTCTTTCCCTGGACCATTCTAATACATTAAATACCTGTGGTTTTGTGTTTACAGTCATTGACTTACTGGAAAGTGAAATTCTGCCCCAGTTTGGCCAGTCTCTTACATGTTTTCTGCCAGATTAGTTCAATTCATCTCTGACCTCTTTGTGTTGGGGAAAAAAGTAACAATTGGCCTTTTGGTTGCGGCTCTAATTAATACTCAGTTTAGGTGAAAGTTCTGGTATTTTTAGGTTAACAGCTGTTTGATGTTTTTTCTTTTTTGATGATGGAGTGAAATTGCACCAAGATATGTTCAAAGTGTTCACCATTTGGCTTGGTTATATCAACTCAACAAATTTCATGCAATGTATCATTTCAGAAGGCTCATTTGTCTTGCTTTGTGTGTTGCAGATATTTGGATTTTGAACAACATATACCAATTGGCAAAGGAAACACTGACCAGCACTGAAGTTTGGCTGTTGTTTCTGCAGCTGGTGCAATCAGAGCAAAGAGAGACACAAGAAACAAAAGACTTCAATCTAATGGCCAAACAACCAACAGTTGTCCAGAATGGGACTGGATATAGAAGACTTCATCTCACCTAGCATGATGGATTCTGGTCTATCACCTTTTGCAGACTTCCTGGACCTCAACCCCAACAGCTATATCAACAATACCAACAGAAGCTGGAGCAACCATCCGTATAGTGGTGATCTGAGGCTCAACGAAACTGAGACCCTTCATTACCCGCTCCATAACGTTCTCCTTGGAGTATCGTTGGGCCTCTTATCGCTCCTAACCATCATAATGAACCTACTTGTTCTCTATGCAGTGAAGAAAGAAAAAACTCTCCACACGGTGGGAAACCTGTACATTGTTAGCCTGTCAGTGGCAGATCTGATTGTGGGAACGACAGTTATGCCCCTGAACTTAATGTATCTGCTGGAGGATGAGTGGAGTCTTGGGCGAGCGGTGTGCCAGTTCTGGCTGATCATGGATTATGTGGCCAGCACAGCATCTATTTTTAGCTTGTTTATACTGTGTTTGGATCGGTACCGCTCAGTCAGACAACCTCTGAAATACCTAAAGTATCGAACACGAGGAAAAGCAAGTTTGATGATCTCTGGAGCTTGGCTACTTTCAATGATGTGGATAATTCCTATTTTAGGATGGAGGTCGTTCACACATGTGGACCTTAAACCTGAGGAGGAGAACAAATGTGACACAGACTTTCGCTTCGTTACGTGGTTCAAGGTGATAACAGCGGTTTTCAACTTCTATGTACCCTCAATTTTGATGTTGTGGTTTTACACACATATCTACTTGGCGGTGAGGCAGCATCTACGAGACAGAGAGAGAATCATTCATCCAGCAGATTCATTTGGAGAAAATGAAAATGGAGGCAATGCCCCAAGCCCTAAAAAAAATGACTCCAAATCCCTCGGGAACGAAACAGAGGTTTCCCTCAAACAACTAAAAAAAGACAGACTGTTAGACCAGAACACTCTAGCTCAAACATATTCACTTGAAGATGGTGAGAAACATAAATCTGCTTCTTTTAGATCTCACAAAAAAATAGGCGTAAAGTCCCAACCGACGTCACTTCTTTCCATGACAACAAAGCGGCTCAGAATGGCACGGAGGGGTAAAACATGCTCCTTGTCGCCTGAAGAGAGACAGCCAGGACCAGAGCTTCCCCTGAGCCAGTCATCTGTGCCGGAGGATATGACATGCTCAGGTGGAAACAATGAGAACAAACATCAAGCCTCTCTCAATGAATGTCATGTCACAGTGACCAACTCTGTGAGTGGAGTCTGCGGTATCAGTCCAGTGTCAGATGTGCAGAGGTACACAGATGTGCTCTGCAACAGCTACGACCCCAGTCAGGCGCTACCTTGGCCCGAGGAAGGAGTTGAGGACACCAAAATAGACTCTGATAACGGAGTGACTCTGAAACAAGCATGGCACAGGTTTATAGACCAATCACGACATCGAATTCAAAGTCTGAGGATTCATAAGGAGCACAAAGCTGCCAAGCAGTTAGGTTTCATAATCGCTGCTTTCTTACTGTGTTGGATTCCTTACTTCATAGTTTTTATGGTCATGGCTTTCTGCCCAGAGTGTGTGCACCACGATCTTCACATGTTCACCATTTGGCTTGGTTACATCAATTCCACTCTGAACCCTTTCATATACCCACTCTGCAATGGAAACTTTAAACGTGTTTTCAAAAATATTCTCAAGATCAATTTGTGACTGATGTGACTGCAAGAGCATAGAGTCACACAAATTCTGAGCTCTTCAAATGTTACCAATAATAATAACAATAAGTTGATGGTCTTGGATGTTTTTTTTAATGTTGATGAAGTAAAAGCATATTTTGGGTGGCAGCTTGTTTTGTACATTAAGTCTCAGATTTTATTTTTGTAACTCACAGTTTTACAAAGAGTCTTTTAGAGTAAAATGTTATTTATTTTTGTCTGTTTTGATGATGTCATTGCACTGTGTCCAGAGATAAAGGAATTTATAGGAGCAGATGTTGGATTTTCTTAAAGTTCGTTTCTATTGAGTTATCAATACTAAATGTATGTTTGCAGTAGACAGAGAAAAATGTCACATACGTAAAAACGTAAAGAGAAAGAAGCTGTGATTACCGAGTATAATTAGTGGCTATGCAGAGCAGAGCCAGCCCAAAAATGGATTTTTGCCAACTTAAATTAAGTCAGTTCCCTAAAAAAGCTCATGATAGCACTACTCTCTCCTTTTGTCACACCCATGCTCATTATTAGTCAACGTCTCAATCCAATAAATCATCTTTTGTTGTAAAAATGTCACTCGGGAGGAGGCATTGCTGCAAAGTTGATCACTCAATATAATTGGATGGCCTTCCCTAGATAGGAAGTTCGTTACCAGTTGGCATGATAAACTTGGGAAATAGGAGCTAGTAGTTAACTAAAAAATAATTAAAAATAAAGAATATATTAAGAAAATCTTTAGTTATACTGATTTTATAGTATTGGAAATTAAGTTACATATTCCACAAGTTACATTAGTGGAATATTGTGCAACAGCTATTACATATGCATTGATTTTAAGGTTTTTTTTCATATGTGAGGGTAGAGTGAATTCCACAGAGCCACTCTTTAAAAATCAAAATCAAAAATATTCCTTCAAATGAACATGAATTGAGCCAAAAATATTTCAAAATACAATCCAAACATGCTCTTAAAAGAATTAAACCTATAACTCTGGACTTATATACAGTATATGTCAATAAATCATTAAATGACAGCAAGCATCAATGACGGTTTTATTTATGTGTTTCTATTCCCATTCATAGACAGGAGTAAGACTCCAAGTTGACAGCAAACCACAGTATTTTTTATTTAGAGCTGTGTGAAAATGTTTTAATTTATTTTGCATTTATTTTGTGTTCTAAAGTTGTTAGAAATGAATAACATGAAACAACATGACACTTAAGTCTGTGGGTAATTCTGTGATTTTTTAATGATTTTTTTTTATTAATTAAACAAGATTTGAAATAAAACTTGCCTTTTCATGTGTAGTATACACTCACATTTCAACACTGTATCTTCAGAAAACTTCTGTGAATAGGCTCAAAATAATTAAATAGGATTAATGCCACATCTTGTTCTCCCAGTTTAAATATTTATTATGTAGTTGACAGAAAATTCACACCTGACATTGATAAAAAATCCAAGTAATACACAAATACAAAGAAATCAGAGCAAATCAATCCACAAATAAAGACATGGGGGGAAATGGCAGTAACATGTAATATGTTTTGAATAAGGTTTGCAAAAAAAAGAAAAACGCATAGAAAGTCAAGAAACCAGCAAAACTCTGTAGAAAGCCTCCCTGTTACCTACTGTAAATCATATTCAGCCAAATTAATATTAACTGTTCAGCTATAAAAAAAAAAAAGTTCTCTTTACTAAAGTATTGTAGGATAAGACAATTAAAAACTCCAAATGTTGCGAATCATACAAATGCCAGGGCCATGTCGGTACTTCTAATCCTCTGAATGTTTCAGTGAATGCCATTTGAGCAATAAACTAAAAGAAGGAAGAATTTAAATTCACCATAAAACTGACAATGGCCACGTATATCCTTTATAAGATTTCTGACAGATGAATCAAAAGAAGAAATTCCAATTTTCTCGCTTCATTAAACCTTTGAATTCACTTGTTTGGGGCACAGTCCTTACAACTGCGGTTCTTGATTATGAGCTGAAGATTAAATGAGTGGATTTCCAACCAGCACACTTGTCTCAAACACATAGTCAGGAAACTCTTAACTGGTTTCAGAAAAAGAAAGTGAAACTTCTACAATTGCCTGGCTTGATTCCAATTAGAAAGAACTGAAGGAGTGCATAGAACCTTTAAAGTTGATGGCAGTTGTGTAGAAGAATGGGTCGAAATCACACTTAAGGATTACTTGTGATTGATACCTAAATGCAGATGTTATCAAGAAAGATGTTTCTGCAAAGTTAAGTAACTGTGTTCAATACTTACAGTGGCATTCCTGTTTTGTACACACAAGGTCATTTAGGGAGTAATTAGCTTTGATTTTTATGTGTGAGGATTGCTCTGATTATTGAGCAATCCACACATTACATTGTGTCCAGAGGTCAAGTTAAATATTGACTATAAAGCTATTGTGTTTAACTTAGATTATAAATGTAACAAAATCAACTCTTTAATAGAAACAGATGCTCACTAATTGATATGCAAAACATGGGTCAAAAAAGGACACGTTTATTTTCTGTTATTTCAATTTTCTTTGCTCTGACTTTTAAAATATGCTAATTTACATTCCAATTGCTGGGAGACATTTTAATTTTGACATGACATTTATCCCTAACCCACATAGTTATTTCTATTTTCCTTTTTATATTATGTAAAACAAATTTTGTTGATACTACCTTATGGCTATATACATGTATAAAAATGATGATTTAAAACAAATGCATAATGTGATAATAATTGGTTACGAATATTCACTGAAAGCAGACTATTAAAATTTGAAATTCTTTTATGTCAAACATTCATCTCTAGAACATAAAATAAAAGACATGTTTTCCATTAATGGATAAAAAACAAATAAATATATTCATTTAAAGCTAAGTAATGAAACTACTATAATACTGACCGACAGTAAGTATTTTTTGAAAAGATAAAGAATATAAACACTGAGCTTTCTTAATTTTAAGAAAGGGTTAAAACAGTGCTAACTCATGTAGTTATAGTTGGGCTGTGGCATGTTTGTCCAATAAGCAGATAAAAAATAGCAACCGGAAAATAAAAAACAACTGTTAAAATAGGACAAGCCACATTTTCGGCCAAATCTGATGTCAGAATCAAAGAAACTGTACTCACCAAACACAACAGTAAGCATTTAATGACAACAGAGCCTCTCTCTACTGGGAAATTTCTTTCTACGTCTATTTTTTTTTTAATGATGTTATGTAGCACCTTCTCCCTTATCATTATCCAAAGTGTAAAATATATTATTGCACAGCCCTGTGGGAAAAAGCAACCATGAATGTGTGATTTATGCAATATAACTTGTAATTTTCTCAGAGATGCAGCTACATATAAAATTCAAACAAATATATCCGAACCTGACAATTTAGAGCAGGATAGTACTAAGCTGGAAAAATAGTGTTTACTTGGACAGGCAGGTGTATAAAATAAAACATCCATAAGGCGTAATCTGAGGTCGAAACATTTACAGTAAAGTCAAAGTCTCCTCATCAGGTTTTATTCGCTCCAGATACTATCATTGTAAACACAGAGCAAAGAACATGAATTCTTAATGAATGGTTTAATAATGCATCTAATTATGGAACAATTATTCCCCAACACCCGCCTCTGTAAGACTTGTAAGAGGCATCTCCATCGAGCGACAGTGAAGCACGAAGCAAACAGAAAAGGCAAGGATCCCTGTATGTGTCTATGTTTTTGTCAGATGCTTATGAAGTCCTATCTTTTCTATCAGTTAGTGTAAACTCTGTGGCATAGTTCATTTACTGTTTTATGGCTATTTTGAAGTCCAAAAACCTAGAACATATGCACAAAAGAAATATTTTCTTTAGCAGTGACGTGTTTTGTGGTGAGCGTCCACACAGGCCATGACGGTTTAATGCATCTTTTTGTTTTATTTGAATCTATTATTCCTGCCAATTCCAATTTTTTCTGAAGCATTGCAAAAGTGGTCTTTAGCACTTAGACAACACTTCTGTTCATTTTTCAGCCCTATTTTTAGCAGATAAAATGACTTTTTCATGTCATTTACGTTTTCTTTTTCTGCATGTATTCAATAGATTTTAAGTCTTTAGGCTGAATTACAGTTGTAGTTTTGGAAGTTTGTGGTGAGCGTGGATGAGCTGAGCAAGCACCTGTAGACTGGATAGGTTGTTTTTGACACCTGGGGAAAATTTTATTTCAATTGTTGTGGATTTAAAAATATTTTTGTCAAATATTGGTAATGCATACTATTTTTTTTTACCCACGCTTCCCAGTCAAATCACACAGCAATGTACTTATGTGTGGGCTACAAACCAAAACCTGACAAACACCCCTACAGGGCCCTGCACAGCCCAGAATACTAATAAAGTAATGCATACAACATTATCAGTTACTGCATGTGACACTGCAAGCACCCACTTGATACAAGGGCATCTGTTGGTATTTAATTTTTACTGTATAAATTGTAGGGTGAAGATGGCTACTTGACAGAGATTTTTCTCCCCAGACACGACCTGCCTGCACAGTTTGCAGTTTAATGCTTTTCTCTCTTATGTTTCACCAGCTTTCAGCTCAGCCTTTGTGTTCACCATACAACCGCTCATTAAAGTATCAGTCAGACAGGATTCAACCTTAGTGGAGAACATTTCTTTTGAGTCATAAGTAAAAGAAAACATCTTTTTAATAGCTAATTTTTTTATCACGGGAATGTGGAGAATGTGCATTGACAGTGTTTCTAAATGACCTAACCTGGTTTTTGATATTTATTAAGTGCTTCAGCTTTTCCTAATTGACAGCACTGACAGTATGGTGCTTATGTTAGTCCCATTGGGCTAAAAAGGTCAACATTTTTCTGACAAGTTATATTTTACACCTGTGACATTTTACAGATATTACACCTAATGAAAACATAACACACAAGTGACAGTTACGTTAGTTTGGGACCAGCTGCAGGATTCCTTCAGCTGGGACTGGATTTATTAAATTTTTCTCCTCAGAATGCGAACATAACACCACATTTCAAAATCTGTTAGGAATGTAATTGAATGGCCAATATGTATAACTAATCTACAAAAATCAGCTAGATGATGAAATGCTTTTAGGTTTGTAATTTTTTTCTAGCATGTATATTTTCAAGCAAATTCTAATATGTTGTGACATTTTGTTAAGCCCAATGTTATTCAGTAGTAGGAAGATTCAGGTTTGAAATAATCTCAACATGTTCTGCCTGGAAAGGATATTCCTCTTTTGAAATGGCCAAGCCAGAATCAAGACTCAGTCTCCTAAGCAATGTGTGCAGGAAGGTAAAAATTAGGGCAATGGCAAAGAGGTCTTCCGAACTCAAAGACTTGCAGCTCATTATGAAAGATAAGTCATGAAGATAAAATGGGAATCATAGAGTTTAATAGCTGCAATGTAAATAAAATATATATATTCCCCTTCAAATAAATATAATTTTTTTCATAAGAAAAATATGGTTACGCTTAAATAATAATAGTCAAATGAATCAAAACTAGATTCCTTCAAAACTTTTATTCGTTTGATTGAAGCTATTGTGACGTTTTCCCGGGAAGAAACATTTACAGACGGTCCCTAACTTATTATCACACTCCTCCCTCTGTCTGAGTCGGATCTCTTACTTTCTGCTGACCGCAAAGGTGAAAATAAGATTCATAGATATATTTCTTCATTTTCTTCAAAGTAAAATAGGGAGCCTGTTTCATAACTGATGTATTTTTTTGAGGCTTTCCCTGCAGAGACTCAACAGTAGAGCTTCTGCCACCAACTGAGTGTTTTAGCAGCCTCTATTTTCACTTCATCTCTCCGTCCGAGATGAAAAGAAACGGCGCCTACAGATTTCTGTCTGTTTTCTCTTGCTTCGTCGTTTGCGTGTTCTTATTCTTGTTCTGGTTCTTCGTCTTTTACTCCATGGTTCTTGCGCCGTAAAACACTGAGGAAGCCGCAAACAGCTAAGCTAAAAGTGACGCGCTGCTTTTACCCACACTGCACCGCTTTATTGACAAATCCTGCGTTCACGTGACCATCTGAAACAGGAAGTAGCAGCTGAGGGTGAGTGCAGCAATTTTGTTTAAAAAATATGTCTTTCGTGGATAAAACTAATCTGAATCATTTGGTTTGTGTTATTTGTGTGCTCTCTAGAAAAGTAACTCTTTGTTTTTCATTGTATATCAGTCACATTTAAGCTGCTTAA